TATATACTCGCATATATATTATACTTTAAAACTGTATAATAATATTACATAAATTTGAATCTCATAAAACATTTCATTTAACAACTCCAGTACGATAAAAATATACAAAATCCAGTCCATAAAAATTCATTCTTGCTCTGTATAAACATAAATTTATAAATAATCCTGAAAAATATTACAAACATATTTTAAATAAAATTAATATAAGCAATATTTTTTCTGTAATAATTCGGAATTTATTTTAGATATTTGCCAGATTTTGCCCAACTTAATCAAATCTCATTTGTGCAGTAACAATTTGGGTTAACAATTGATGTAGATTTGATATTGCATGGTGAAGTCTATTGTGAAAAATTCAGAGAAAGCAGGAGAAAAGCAGGAGGAAAGCTCACAGAAGTACGGAAAAATTATGGCTAAAATATTGTTATATAAGCAAAACATTTATGAGTGCTGCAGTGAAAATATATACACCGTAAAATGAAAGGGGGAGAATGAAAAGTTTAAGTAAAACATGCAAATCTGATTCCACAAATCCTGCAAGAAAATCGCAAAATGATTTTTTTTAACTTTATTAAAATTAGAAATGTTGGTAAATAATACAGTTGAGTGCAGGTACCTTGAATGATGCAATGGCACAGGAAATGGGAATGGAAATAAAATGTAGGGTTTTGCATGAATGAAAGTACATTAGAGCGCTGCTTCAGTGTTGGAAAGCGTGAAGCAATGCAATGTTTTCATTTCTGCTATGCTTTATTCCTTTGGTTTTGTTAAATTATCTATACTAAATCTGTGGTTGAAACTGAAGTCAACTAAAAGCTTTATATCATACCACTGAAAAACTCAATATTTTGCGGTTACAAAACTAATCGGTTTACAATGCAAATATACAAAATAAAGATTTCATTTGTATTATTTTTTTATTACTTACTATTATTTTTCATTATAACGATTTCTTTTTTAATGACATAAATAGATTTATAAATCAAGTTTTGTTCTTATTTAAAATTATTAACTTCTAAAATTTTAAATTGTGCTAATATATTTCAGGTGCAAAGTACTTCATTCGTATAGTTTATGTATCATTTTAAATAAATTATGTGAAAATTCCCACTCAATTTTCCTATAAGCTAGCTTTGCTATTTCTCCCTTAGTACGCTTGAAAAATTAGCCAATTAAAAACAAACTTGATATAAAAATGAAATTAATTAATTGACTTTTACCTGCATAAAATGTTAAAATGGCCATTTATCAATTTAATTTGTTTGTGTACGTGCCTAGAACTTGGTTTACAGAGTTGTTAGTATAAAAAAAATTTACTGCGACTATCAATTAAGCTCTACGCCCACTTTCCGGTGAGCAAAAAATTTATATGAATGGATGTGAACATAAATAAAAAACATGTTGTAAACGCTGCTTTACACTATTTTTATTTATGCTCATCCACTCGCACAATATACAGCACTTTTTAATGCTTCCGTAGTGATAACAACATACAACATACAACATACAGCTTTAGATATATTAAACTTATCCATAGTTTGTATAGAAACATTTAAATGTTGTCCCCATTTTTGATCGTAAAACACTCAATAAAATGCAAGAATAAATGATGCCATTTTGACTTGACACAACTTGGCTGGCTTCCGCTCTGCCTTTGTCGGGCAACTTAACACAATGAATTGAATGATTAATTTCTCTAATGTGAACACTTAAGTTTGCTTAATTTCCATGTTTTGTATACACACACACTCGAGGCCTATGTATAAGAGCTTTAGCCAGCAGCAAAGAATTTATGGAGTATAGTCAAATCTTACCCACCGCTCTGTCGTGAGCACTCATAGCCTGACAAATACCAGCCAGCAAATGTTATGATGCGACTTTATTAATGGCCTCTAAATTCCCATGACATTTTCTCATTTTGCTTTCATTGGGTTTCGGTTCAAAGAAGTAAAAATTAAAAATTAAAACGATTTAATGCAAGCCAAAAATTAAACAAACAAAAGGAAGCAAAATAAATAGAAAAACAAAAGTAAAACTCTGTTCCAATGCAAACACTTTCCGTTTCACATCTTCCACACAATTTCCGCACATCTCGTCCAATGGAGACTTGCAAGCGAATTTGCTATTTACGTTTGCGTTGACGTTTTTATAGGTTGAGCGCCTCGCAGTGGATGTGGAGCGATACTTTTTTGGTTGTCACTACTCGACCGCGGCACAAGCACTCGTTGATGTTAATGATCGATTTGTCTGTGAAAAAATTCATCTCTTCAAAAATTTTTTTCTTTTCAGAAATTTTAAAATATTTTTATTTCTTGGCCAAAAAGTCGTTGGAGACAAATAATGCAATTTATCAAATATTTGAAAAATTCTTGGTGGGTATTAGCAGGCGTTTGTGCTCTTATTTCAGGCACGGCCTTTTGTATAGAAATAATTTTGGTATTTAATCTTTCAAAATATTCCAATAAATTAAAAAGATTTGTCTACACAAAAAACTTTTGACAACGAAAAAGTTGTGTAGAAAAAAAAACAACACAAAAGGAAAAGCTGAGAAAGTTTCAAAATAGAAGAAATCGAAAAGATTTTAAAATTTAAAAACCTTACACAGATGTGATTGTTCAGAAACTCTTCACCAGAGGGAATTTTGTTCAACAATTATTATATTCCTTTAATGAAATTATTATTTTTTTCCTTTTTTTTGTGTTTTTGGTGCGCTTACCTGCCACTTTATTTTCTTATTTAAGAGAGAGTATCACAAAGCTTGATTAATTTAAAAATTATGAATCTACTACAAACACAAACTGAGAGGGAGTAAAATTTTTTTAAATATTTTGCGTAGATATTAATATAAAAATTGTCACATCTATTTATATGCCGACAAAGGATCGTTTTCCTTTATATTTTAATACTCAACGCACTCTTAATTAAGTAAAGATGCATCTATTGTATATACCATAACTGGAAGTTATACCATAACTGGAAGTGCTTAAGTGCACTGACTCAACTAGCCTCAACATAATAATATTATTATAACTTATAATACTATATCGTATATATGCATTAGAATTTGAATAGCATATGTTTATACATATATTAAACACATTTAGTAAACTTAAAGCTTCGTATAAATGAATTGATTTATTTACAATCATTCTAGGTTTAAAGTTTAAATTTAAGCCTATAAATTAATATTGACAATTTTAGGCATTCAAATATTTTATCTATTAAATTTGAATAACATTCAAAAATTTTGTCTGGCAACATATGCAAATAAATCAAAACCCTTTCAAATAAGTAAATTACAATAAATATAATATAGTAAAATAATTTGTTGATGCAATTTTTTTTTTTTTTGTGTTGTGAAAATATGTAAATTTGTTAATCAAAAATAATAAATTACAAATTGACAAAAAGATAAATCAATTTGTTATAAATATTTTTATTTAATTTATCAGCATTTTTCAAATGGATTCACCAGAAACGTAAAGGCTATACCCTAATTGATTAAACTCAGTTGATTAAATTAATTATAAACTAATAGTTCAGGCATTTTTATCACATTTGAGGTTTCTGTTATACATGATAAAATTAAAAACTTATAAATATTTGATTATTTAAACAATGCAAACCAATTTACTATATATAAAACAATGAACTAAATGCCTTTTGTTATGGTAAATTTGAATTGCCAAACAAAAACCTATTAAAATCGAATAAAAAGTGGTTTGCTAATGATAAATTGACTATCTTTGATGAAATGAATAAGATGCGAAATACCATAAATAGATACGTAGTTGGCTGACAGATGCAATTTATATCACAAAAGCTTATGAATATTACGTGAATGGTCAATAAAATTATTGACAGCTATAAGAATAAATTCTAGATGAAGATAAAAAAGTTTGGACAAATGATGATAACATCTATAAAGAACAAAATATTAAAACATTCCGCCTTCTCTTTCAATTCTTAGTTTGATATGAACAATTTAAATCAGTCATTTAAAAGCAATTGTTGTGTAAATAAGATATAATCATTATTAATTTACATTAATTAAAATATTAATTATTTTAAAATAAATACTTAATAAATAACAAATTAAAATAAATTAAGAATTTTAAATGAAGATTGTATTAAGTAAGTCGTATAAGATTTAGTAAGCCCTTTAAGATTTAGTAAGCGCTTTATTGAATTAAGTAAACTCTTAATTGGATAAATACTACGTTCAGACAGCCAAATTTCCTTAATTTCGTAAGAAATTAAATAAAGTTGATTTTGAAAGTGTTCATACTGCTTCAAATTAATGAAAATCATATATTCTTTGTTTACAAATCGAATGTTAAAAATTACATGCTCCATACAACATTTGTATCTGGGAAATTTTAAAAGTTGATTATTACAAATCAAAAGGATGGCATTCAATAGTTTTATTAGCTTAAGTGGATTTCAGGTATGTGAATTATTATTTTTCACTCTATTTTAAATTAATAACAGTTGCAGTTTTTTATCTACACTCAATTTAAAAATTTGCACTACTTTTAACATTTTTTCCCGGTTTTATTAAAGCCAACTGTCACTAACATTTATTTAAAAAAAATGTCTCTTTTTCGTTATCTCAACATTATCTATAGCTAAAAATTTATCTTACGCATAGTTGCATTTGAAATGTTCCTTAATTTCAGCCTTCGTTTGAACAGAATTAAGGCCATTTTCCTTAATTTCGTTCTAATCCATACTTTGCCGCAACCTAACACGAAAATATTTTAAGTTCCTTGAATTTCACATGCAACATTGAATATGATTAGGACTTTAGATATATCAGATCTCATAAGTTTTTCTTTGAATGGATTTTGTGTGGATTGTATATGAAAAGTTGACATATATTGCTGTATATTTATAGAGTTGATTGCGATTGTAATAAATGACAATAAGCAGGCGTCGTATTAGATCGACCTTCATTGTTCGTCGTTTATATTCGTTAGTTCTAAACTAGTCGGCAAACGAAGTGGACTAAATTGAAGTACGTGTAAAAAATGACAGAGGAACTAGACATGTATTCTTATGTAAGTTCTTATTTAAAAGTGCTTTTTTAGATTAAAGCTCAATAAGTAAAAGGAATAATTTATTACAATTCCAAATTCTTATAACATAAAGGGTACATACATTGTTTTAACTTTAGTATAGAAATTATTGTGAAATGTGTATGTGTAAAATTTTTTTATAAAAGTTTTATTTATTCCTGGATTATTATTATTTTATTTATTATTGTTTTATTGTATTACTCTTTTACTTTCGTTTGTAATTTAAATTCATTAGTTAGTAACGCAACAACAATGATTTGCTATTTTATATGTAAAAATATGCCCGTCCTAGGGATTGGTCGGCCATGTTGTTTTTTTTTGTTACATACATACATATATGTTATTGATTGTAAACTCTAAAACAAGGAAATTATAATATACATATAAATTCACCATTAAAAAATCCGGTCTATGTAATTGAAATGTAGGAATTTTCTATAAACTATGGTGTATGCTCGTAAATACTCGAATTTTTGAAAAAAAAAAAAAAACAAATTCAATGAGATTCTTTCCAGAATACTACTGATTAATGCGGTCATTCCATTAATCTATCATTTAGGACAAATTTTTAAAGAAAAAATTTTAGAATTGGTATTTAGTGGATATTCATTCTTAGTTAAATGAGGAAAACCCAATGGCGCCTCCTGAGAGACCAACATACAGTTTGAGGGCAGCCAAGCGGTACATCGATCGAGATGATCCTATGTTTTGCTTACGTAAGAAAAAAAAAGAAAATACAAGACCTCCAATATATTTGAAGGACTTAGAGGATTTTAGTGGTAGAGACCATGCCGATGTGGTGAATGAAATTGCGCAAAAGTTGAGAACTACAAACACAGATATAATCTGTAAGTAAAAAACATTTGATATAGAATAAATATATCGATTGAATCATTTCTTCCTCATAGCGTCAACTATCCTTTTGCTTGGACAAGACACAATTTTAGAGGTTTACAACAAAACACGTTTGATTGAACGTAATGGCGGTCAGCTAGTTAAGGAAAGTTACAATTTTTTTTCTTTATATTTTTTATGCTATTATTATCCACTTTTATATGAAGTACATGAATTAATGAAATTAATTTTAAATTATTTGCAAATTAAATAAGTAATTAATTTTTAAATATAAAGTATAAAGTAGTTCAAGACAGAAAGATGAACTTATAGGACGTCGTATATTCTACAAAAATGACCAATGAAGACATTTTTCGCAGAATCTGCGTTTTGATGTTCAAGTTAACGTATATATATAGTTTACATAGTTTAGTAGTAGCATAATAAAATCTATATACCATGTTTACATTATGAACTTTAACTATCTAGCTCTGCTAAAGGAAGTTCCTAAACGTCAAGCGTTTACATTATCGGTTTTTATTTTAAAAGTTGTTGTTTTAGTTATGTTTTTATTTCTTGTACGTTTCCAGTCATATAAATTTCGCTATAATATTAGATATTAGATATTTTGTAAGCAAATGTCATGTTGGAAATGAAACCGATATGCCATTTCTTACTAAAAACTTTTTGATAATGCATTATTTTCGGCGCTGTACTTAAATATGTAATAAAGCTTTTAATGAAGCCAATGGTGAACTTTGGTTGTACCTATTTTTATATGAGAAAGCAAGTTTTGAAAAATCGTTTTGATCTGAAAGTGGACTTTCACTATCAAAGTTCGTAATATAAACATGTTATTTTACCATATTTTAAACGATACCTTGTTAATATTAGTTATTGTGAATTCTCTATTTTAATTGTCTTATTCTCTATGATATAGGACAAAAGTCGACGTAGAACGCCAGCAGGTACGTTCTGTAAGCTACTCAAAACAGTGCCAATGTCAACGGTGGATTTTAATATTATTTTTAAAGAAAGCAGACGCGGTAAGCAAAATTATAACATTTCTTACATTGATTCTCATCAATGTATTTTTTTTTTCTTAATTATTTTAAAATCAATTAAAATTTAATTTTCCTTTTTATTTTGTAGATGAAGTTGAGGAAGATAATACAACATTTGATAAACAAGATACTACTGAAGAGAAATAAATACAAGATACAAAAAAATGTGAGCAGTTTTGAAATTTTATATTAAATTATTAGACAGACAACTGTACTTTCTTTTCTTACTCCTACAGCGTCTACATTACAACTTTTTGAAAACCTTAACCCTACAGTTTCTTTAACCAACAACAACTACTGTTCACTTTGAGAGATGTCAAAGCCATGTTTATGTTTGCAATCGCCTATGGTTGCCACCACAATAACAACGACAAGAGACTACAGGACATTTAAGGAAATGATTTCTAAGTTGCCTTTATAAGTCAGATTTGTAAGATAATAAAGAAAATCAAACTTTGAAATATTTTGCATTTTTTGTATGCAAAAAAAAAAAGATATATTAAAAAAAAAAGATTAAAAACTTAAAAATCCTTCCGCTTTTTACTAAATTCTGATGAATTGGGTTTATTGATTTTAACATCGATCAATTTGATTAAATTTATTTAGCATTCATGTTTAGTCAAATTTAATAAAAATTTTTTCTTTCAATGTTTTTGATTGACACATCATTATAAGGGTGGAGTAGATGTCAGATACATTTTGTACAACTTACTCAAAATTTAATATAAGGAAACTGTGTCAAGTATAAGGAATATCAATACAAAGATGCTGACAACAGATACAAATTTCATAATTGCGTAGTTATTCATGTTGTTTAACGACAAATATATATATCAAAGATTTGACATTTAGTTTTAGTAGAAGTCAAATTTTATCTAATGTACATAACTGAAAATAATTTCTTCAAATATTTGTCGAGCAGATATTCACGGCAACGAATACAGTTTAAGTTTAAGAGTATCCATGTATACATTATAACCATATACTACCAGAAAGTCAATTTGTCAGTCGAGCATTAAGCTTGTACGAATTTGACTTTAAGTGAATATGGGAATGTCTATAGATATCAAATCAAGCAGGTTTGATAAAAAAATCAACCCACGCTGATTTCTGAAACATATCAGAACACAGAAAATAAAATAAGTCAATGAACTTCCAAGGAGAGGATGAGAGAAAGTGCTAAGGAATCAATAAAAGACAAAACAGGAAGCAATTCTTTGCAAATTATAACATTTTAAATTGTAATAGGCAATATGTAGCTGTATTTTGCATTAGCATTTTTAAAGACAAGTTTGAGAATGTTAATCGAATCATTGAATGGCTAGTGTATACTCAAGAAACATCTGAGCAACACAGGTATTGAATAAAGTCAGCAACCCAAACACACACTATGTAACTTCATACGACACGGATATTAATACTTGTTATTGCAAATAATATTAAGCATAGAGTTAATAAAACTTAACCCACGTTCTTGAAATGTTAAAGGCGAAGGGACTATATAAGATTTATAGGGTTACTATAATTTAGTAAAATAGAACTTTTGGTCGAGTTAGTTCAAAATCCGTTTGTTAACAATAGAGTGTAAAAAATAAGTACTAGAAGGTAGTAGATTAGAACTTCTTCTCTTCGAGAACCTTTTGTTCACACTTCCATGTACATAGAACTTTTGATCGAAGTACTTTACAAACCTTTCATCTACTTTACATCATTTGCTGTCACGTGCAAAACACCAAAAGAAAATTTGGTTAATTGTAGTAGATTATGCGGGCCGCATGTGGCATGTCGTGCTTTGGATAGCCCTGTTTTAGGTTATTAATGTAGTTAAAGATATTTATTTAGTATGAAAATTATTATGAATTAACAAAGGTCTCGTTGCGGTACACATTAAGTACCAACAGCATTTAGTAGGTTTAGTAGGAAGAATATGTTTAAATAGGAAAGATAAACGATCATTAACATTGTAGACGCTTACGTCAAGCTTCGAAAAACCGTAAGTAACGAACCAGTACAATATATTTTAAAAACAGATCTTTCTCAGACTTTCAGATTTTACTTTGAGCTAAAACCTCAAATTAGAAATTAACTTTCTATAAATCGGATAAGTACTATGACAAATTCGAATATGAATTTCTCATTGTAGGTATATATTGTAGATAAAATACAAATATGCGTTCGCAATTATGAGCTCATGAATTAAGAAATTTCGAAACTTTGTCTTAAGAATAAAGAATTTTTTCAATTCTCATATTAATCAGTAAATTATTAAAGTTACAAATATTAGTATATGTATTTTTTTTAAATTAAACTTTTATTAAACTCAACTTAAACCAATAAAAACTTAACTAATTCACAAAGTTTATTGCCGAATAGTATTTTTGGTTATAAAAACTTATTATCGAAATGATCAAAGTATCATTGTTAATAAAGTGTTTAAATAATAAGTGGTTAGGAAAGAGGTGGCTACAAAATAGGTGTCAAAAAGGCTGAATAAAAGTAGGTACTTGTAATTATCAACACGAGCTTCAGCTTCGAGGACGAAAACAATATAAAATTTCATAATTTTTGCCCGAATTATGATAAAAAGAATAAATTAGACACCGCTCAGGTTATACATTTCAGTTGCATTCGCCTGTTTGATAATAATTAAGAGTGAATTGTAGATACAAATTGATACTTGACATGCAATATCCAAACTGCCAATAATTTTTGAAGAATTTCGAAAACATTTCTTTAAACAGAATTTACCATGAATATTAAAGAAAATTTTTTGCCAGAAGCAAACAAGCAAAAATTATGCAAAACTTATACTTATAATTTTGATAGCACTCAATCTTAAACAGCATAAATGTGCTTAAGCGTAACAACACATATACCTCACTTAGATACATATAAATCTTTTTGTACTTAGATATATATATATATTGTATATAAATATATAGGATATAAGTATTGAAGTTTGTAAGCATAAAAGGAATTCGCTCAAAATCTTTGCATGTCTTAGGATAATTTGCAAGATTGGGTGAAGAAAGCAAAAAATGTGCAAGAAATTATTAAAATAAAAATTCTTAATAAAATATAATTTATACAGTAGAAGTAAGTAAATTTCATATACATATATAAAATGATATACAGGGTGTCCAAGTTCGAAACAATTCCTTTGTTGAGTTTACAGCTGGTTAAGAGCTAAATTTTCTTATTGGAAGAAATATTTAATAAAAACAATCTGAAGCAACTCATGGCCATTACATAGCAGTGAAACACCCTGTTTCTCTACCTAACAAACATAACAAACATACCTCATACACCACTAATAACATTAAAATTAATATATTCTGTTAAGTTTAGTGAGAGAAGCATTAAAGTGAAAAATATGTGCGCTGCCAAAAACCATAACGATTGATTTTGAATTATAGTATTTGGAACTTTAATAAAATTGAAACACGCAGGATACTTTTTTGGCATTCTGGAAATGTTTGTATCTAAACACGAACAAAAACGCACTTCTTTTTTTCTACCCAAACCTTGTTAAGAATACATATTGAATATTTTCATTTTAGTCTTTCCTTGCGTTCTGGAGGCATATGCTTTGAGTTAGCCGAAATATTTGCAAATTACAATAAATTTTTATAGAGCGGAACGAAGTAAAATTATAAGCAATAAAAATATTATTTAATGATGTTTATAAAAAGAAATTATCGATTCCATGTCAGTCAGTATAAAGAAACGCAACTATTTAGCTTCGGGATTAAAAACCACAGATTACTTGTCTGTTCTAACTGCTGGATTATCATCGAACGATTGAGTATTATTAATAACTATTCTTAACCAATTTAATTGTCGCCTTCCAGTTATTTATCAATTGTAAATATATTTTATTGGATTAAAATTTAACTATCGGTATAGAAATCGGTATAGATTGGCAAAAAATTCTTCCATTAATTTGCACACCTTTGCGTCGTACTCTCACTCTTCTTATCTATTCTTCCTTAACTTCCTTCCTTCTTCCTTATTCTTGCTAAATGACTTTAATGCTTATTCTCTTCCAGATAATAATCTAGAATGAAGTTCTATTAAATCTATAGGTTACCTCTAACGGGGTGATGTAAAGATATTATTAATTTACAATAATGCGAACAATTGAAGTATAGATCGTTCAGTTTCAGTTTATCATAACATTCCATTCGTTTCGTTCCATTCTTATCGTTTTAAGTCTATCTTTCGGATAATTTTTTTTTATATTTTTTGTCTTCTCTTTCCTATATGGTATCCCGTTAATCTAGAGGTGTTAGTAATTTACGACGAAGAGGAGGAATAAGTTATTATATGGAAATTGAATGATAGTGCACTTTGTTATAGTATCTCAAATAGATTATAGTGTTTTCGTGACCCTAAATAGTAGTGTTTTTGAACAACTAGTATGCACTAGCCAATACAGAAAAGCATCTAATGACGACAACAAAAAAATACTACTTATGAATCTCTTTATCTTAAATGGAATATAAAGTCAGGTATTGTTAAAATGGCGCCTCTCCTGTTTATCCCCTATTAAAAACATTTATAAAACCATTTTAAGTAGGGAACTAGTCTTATCAATGAATCAGCAATTAATCTAAAAGTTTCGATTCTATTTCATCGGAAATAACTTTATGTCTTCATTCAAACCCCAGTAATTTAAATAAGTATAAAGAAAATCTGTTTTATTAAATAAAAATTTTAATTTCCACAAATAGAATTTTGAAATTTACTTGATCTACAATTTATATAGTTTCGTATACCTTCATTTAACAATTCTCTAATTAAGAAAATGAAAATAATTAAATAAATTAAAAATGTTTTGTGTAATTTTATGTCAGGCCTAATGAAAAGTACACCGTTTCTAAACATTTTTATTTAAATTGTTAAAGGTATTAAAGCATTAAATAATATTTCACTATGGTGAAATGTTGCTCCTTAAATATTTACAAATTTAAAGTCAAAGGAACAACTTCTAAAATAAACTAAACCGGGCGCTAAGAAACATTCTGTGAGGGGATAGAGGGCTTATCTTAAAACCAAAACACGCTAACGTTGTGCCTAACAATTTTAATTACCATTTAAACGTGTGCCACCAGCGTTAATCACACAACAGACCCACCAGCACCGCAGCCAATT